GCGCGTTCGGACCAATCGCCGCCCACCGCTCGCGCTCGGGGCCCTCCCACCGGAAGCGGAAGTGGCACACGGCAAAGATGGCGGCGCTGGCTAAGATATGTGAGCGAGGGGTGATGTCCTGAGGGCTTGGGGGAAAGGGCGTCAGGGCGAGGGGAGGGAGGCTGAGCTCGCCACGGAGGTCATCCCAGATATATCAACCCGCGGGAAATATCTCCACTATGAGGACAGGGTGAGGGAGTTGGGGCTGTTCAGCCTGGAGAAGAGAAGGTTATGTGGAGATCTCACAGTAACCTATCAGTATCTGAAGGGGCAATAGGGCAGCTGGAGAAGGATGCTTTTTAGGAGTTGAAATTGAACGAGGGGAAATTTAGGCTAGATATTAGAAGTTTTTCCCTGTGAGGGTGGTGAGACGTTGGCACAGATTACCCAGGGAGGCTGTGGCTGCCCCAACCCTGGCAGTGATCAAAACCAGGTTGGATAAAGCCTTGAGCAACCTGATCTAGTGAGGAGTGCCTAGGGCAGGGGGTTAGCACTAGATAATCTCTAAAATCCATTCCAACCCCTAAAATTCTCTGATTCTGTATCACTGCTGTTTGGGGTGGAGACCTGGGCGGGTTTGTGTATGTGAAAGTGTAAGTGTAATTCGCCCGTTTAATTGCCTGTAGTTTTAAGTCTCAGAGGGTTTAATTTACTTAATGGCTCATCCCCTGGAGTTAATGGGGGTTTGTAGAGCAGTTAGCCTTTTCTCAGCAATGTTTCTAGGTCACGGTGTAGCTGTGGTGATTTAATTAAGGTTGAATTAATGCAGTGGTTATATGTATATGTATCATAAGCTGAGTAGGTTATGATAGGCACTGTTCTGGACTAACCTGCTGCTTCAGTGGCTAAAGAGAGGGATTTAGATAAATTGTATTTACCTGCTAACTGCATGAAAAGAGGTACTGAAGAAATCATAGAATCAGAATTTTAGGGGTTGGAATGGACCTTAGAGATAATCTAGTCCCAACCCTCTGCACTTGGCAGATTTTGATGATGCTGATTTGGGTTGGAAAGGACCTTAAAGACCATCTAATTCCACCCTCCTGCCATGGGCAGGGACAGCTCCCACTAGCCCAGGTTGCTCCAAATCCCATCCAACCTGGCCTGGCACACTTCCTGTCCTGTTATCCTTTCCGTCTGACAAAAGGAATTATGTGTAATAGTTTCTCCAGCTGATGTTGTTCTTGCTCCAAACCTAGTTCTAAGCCCTCCCCAGACGAGCCTGGCTGCTGTCAGATGGGCTTCTAAGAAAACAGGAGGCAGCTCAAAAAATTTAGGTGGTCGCAGCCCTGGGAAACGCTATGGATTCAAGAAAGTAGAAGGTAGGTCTGAGTATCTGCTGAGCCTTATTTGCATTTCACTGGGTGAAAGGAACAGCTTCTCCCTGGTATGTGTCAGTGAATGTTTCAGGAGGAGGTGGGCAGGGCACTGTGCCAGGAGAAAGGAAAGGGGAGGCTCAGTGGAACCCTATGATCAAGGGTCTCTGGTGGGAGGGCAGGGTGAGTCAGCCTCCCACCTCCTGAGGCCACCAGCCAAAAATGCCTCCAGAACATGTATTTTGGTTCTCACTTGGCCTCTCCAGAGCCCCCAGGAGGAGGATACACCATGAGACACCTCACAGCCACAGTGTACCTTCTCCCTACGCTGGGTGGAAAAGCTGAGCATTTCCAGTGTTTACAGTACAGGGAATTATGAGGCTTAGCAGAAGCCAAAGTACAGATTCCTGCAGCTGAGTGCTTAATAATTATTAGCTTTGCTGATGGAAACATATAGATGCAAAGGTAATAAAACAAATGCCTTCAGCAACCAGAAAATGCCTCATACCCTAGGAGTAATCTTTTTAGAGACTTGGCCTTTTGCCATGGGAGATCAGTTGCCTTTTATTTCTTGCAAACAGCATTTTGGTTTGGATACTTTTAGCACTTGAAGTAATTTTTCCTTAGAAAATTCCCACAGAAAGCTTAGGATTTTTAAGTCCCGAGACCATTTGTGTTCTGCCAGGGCTTCAGGGAGCTGTTTCTCTGCAGTCTGACTCTGTCACTCTGTTACAGGTGAATTTGTCCATGCAGGCAACATTTTGGCTACACAGCGGTTGATACGTTGGCATCCTGGCGCCCATGTGAGTCCTTTTCCCTCTCTTCCTTGGTTCCCAGGGAACAGCAGCCCATCATGAAGTCCCACACTGGCTGCCTCCTCTCCTTCAGTCTCATTCTTAGTGTTCATCCCTACACCTGACACTGGGACTCTGGGGGAAGGTCTGCAAGTTAGGGATGTCCCAAACCACTTCTGTGACCTGACTGGGAGCTTGTGCTTTAGGGTGGAAAGGGTGTCTCCTCCCTTGCACTGAGCACCATTGCACACTGAGTGCTGGAAGCAAGTTGTGTGGTTTTCTTGTATTTTAAAATACAAAGCAACAGATGCTGTTGAAGCTGAGATATGAGAGGCAGGCCAACGATCAGGTCTGCTTTAGTGGTGGACCTCCAACCTCTCCTAACACTCCTCCTCCTCTCTCAGGTGGGGATGGGCCGTAACAAGACACTCTATGCCTTGGAGGATGGGATTGTGAAATACACCAAAGAGGTCTACATACCTCCACCCCGCAGCAGCGAGAGCAGGGAGGTGATCTGTCGTCTGCCCAAAGGAGCAATCCTCTATAAAACCTTCATCAGTGTCATCCCCTCCACAGAGGTAGGAAGCTTCAAACTGGTCACCATGCTCTGAGGCTCCTGCTCCATAGGGATGGATGGAATGGACAGACCACTACAGCTGGACTGACGTCTGAGGATGGGAATATTCTAGCTCCGAAGATACCAGTTTAGGACTTGTTTTTTCTCCTAAAGCACATGTGGTCAGTGTTTAGGCACTGGGATCACCTGCTGACATTTGTAAGTGTGTTGAATAAATGCCATGAGGCAGCTGAAGGTCTTGGCTGATCACAGAATGTGTTACCATGTTCATTTAGTCTCTGGACAAACTGTTCCGTTGTGCCACTGGATGAGTTCCCTCTGCGATCACTTATGTCAGTATTTGTCCCACTAATTATTCCCTCTATTTTTACTCATATTTAGTCATTACTGTTCTCTTTGTACCTTAATTCACAATACTGCAGAACAGATCCTTTTCCATAACACTGTGTCCCAGGAGGCTGGGCTTGTCCTTCTGTCTAACTCTTAGCCTCAATGAGTGTTCCATTCAGTGGCCACATGAGGCAAGTTCACAGGCACAACACTAACTCATGACTAGGTTTAGGAGGCCTTGGTAAGATGCCCAAGTCTGGGCTGGTATTTGAAGCTCAGCAGCTGGAGGTGTATCAAAGCCATAATCCAGGAGACTTATCCTTTTATCTTTGAGTCATTACATGACATTTTTGAGCTTATATTGCTCAGAATAAAGGAGCCCAAATACCTTGAGGCCAAACTGATCTCATTTTATCTACAGGTTTGTAAACTATTTGAAACATTGACTCTGCAGTAAAAAACAAGTTATCAAAATGAGTGGTGTAAGGACACCAGTGTTGATATTATCAGACAATACTTCTGCTTTGCAGAAGATCAGGTGAACCGAGTCAGCCACGTGTCCACCTGTGCTTCACATTCTTCATGGAGACCACCAGCTGTTCTGTCCACACACTTGTCCTCTCCCAGCCTGCAAATCCAGTCCCACAGTTCATCTTGGTGGTTGGCATTTGCATAGAGCAGGTGACACAACCCCTGGAGCCTCTCCAAATCCACGTCTGAGGTCTATATAACGTTGCTGTTGGTCTCAGAGCCCTATTGCTGCAAGAGCATACAGCAATGCTCCAGTGCAGATTCATTCTGCTGCTCACAGGTCAGGATTGCCACCTAGCAACCAATACACTGATCCAGTAAAACACTTGATAACCTAAGAAACAAGTGAAGCAGCATAACACAACCACTGTCTGAGGTCTGGGCACATCCAGCAGTGCTGCCTCACAGAGGTACAATATTCTGCTGCCTGAGGAGCTATGGCAGAGCAGACCTTCACCTTGACTTTGCTCCGTGCAGTTCCAGCAGCTTGTCCATCACCTTTGGTAAGTGTTTGCCAGGGAAGAGCAAGCAGAGCTCCCAGGCAGCTCTGCTCAGCACACAATACCCAGCAGAGGCTCTGTGGTTGTCCTTGTGCTGCAGGAGGGTCTGGCTTGCCTGTGTCTTGGCTGACTGTGGATCTGGGTGAAGGTTTGGCCGTTCCCTGCAGAGGAGAACGATGTCACAGGCACTTCTGTCGCTGACAGCACGGGTAGCAGCAGTATGCTGAGACCTTACACCGCAGTGTTTCGCTGAGTTTGGTAGCTGAGAGTGGCCTGGAAAGGGTCTGGAACACCACGTCTGTCCAAGGTCTCTGAGCTTATTCCTGAGAGAGCTGGAGGATGCCTCAGAGCATGCTCATAGGGAGGCGGCATCTATTGAGTAGAGAGGAAGAGCATTACGGCGGATCAGAAATAACCAGGAGATTATCCCACCTCTTCTTACATCCTTCTTACTGGATGACAAGGCTCACAACCACCAGCAGCCTGAAATTAAACCCCCACAGCCCCCAGCACAGCTGGCTGCTGCCTGGGGAGCACCTGGGAGACGTGGGCTTAGCACCAGTCTGCAACGCAGCATGATAGGAACCTGCTGGAGAGGCACATTCCTCTCTCCCACACTGTGCCGGTTCCTGCTCTTCCCTGTTCCCTTTCAAGGACTTGGCACAAGGCCAGAAAAGACTTGACTTGTTAGAAGAGGACTGTTGTTTTATTTTCTTTGACCAAGGAAAAAATTACTGGGATTTATATAAGCATCTACAAACCAGGCTTTCTACCTTTCTCCTTCCCCAGCAGCAGAGAGGAACCTCCACACCTTATTTTGGCAGAGCTAGGCTATCTTTTTCTCCACGAGTGACAGGAGTGGCACAGGGATGTTGTGGAAGAGCTCCCTTTGCAGTTCCTCTACTTCTTGTCTTTGTGGCTTTGCTCTCCTAAACCTCAGTGCTCTGGTTTCACAGAATCACAGTGTGGTTTGGGTTAGAAGGGACCTTAAAAATAGTCTTGTTCTAACCCCCTGCCATGGGCAGAGACACCTTTCACTAGTCCAGGTTGGTAGTTTCAGGGCAGGTATCATTACAGCTCCAAACACTGAGTGGCAAGTGCTGACTGTGCCAGACTTTATGGTACAGCTTTAAGAGCTCAAAATACAGGTAAATCGGTGAACTTTTACTGCTCTGCTCAGGGTTTCAAATGTTTCTGTTCTGCTTTATTCAATGAGGTCTCTGTTACCAGGAGCCTCTCGGGATGCTGCTACAGGACCTACTTGGCAGGGGCACTCACTTCCCCATTCTATTGTGGGAGTGCTAATCTCCAATATAACAGGCAAAGCCTCCTGCTCATAAATAAGCCATAAACACTTCAAGGTAATAGCAAGAGACCTCCCAGGAGTGTCCTGCTGGGAAAAGGGAGCGAGAACATGTGGAAGCCTTAGAGATCCAAAAATAACATTCCCAGCTTGGACTTCAATGAAGCAGGTGATTCGAAGGGCCTGCCCTTTCTCCCTGAGGCTCTGCCCTGCCTCCTGGCACAGGCATCTCTGCATACACACTGTGGGGGAGATGGATCATTAACCAGCACAGATGTACACCAAAGGAGCCTCCTGATACACTTTGTGCTTTCCTGAAGATAAAGGCTATCAGGGAAAGGCAATCACAGAGAACAGAGTCCTCAGCTACTGCCAACTGCTGAAACAAGACATGGATATGGACCAAAGTGGGGACTGTTCCAGGTCTCTGCCAACCCCCCAGTGCAGGGATGGGAGCTCACCTCCTGGGATGGCTCTGCCCACAGCCCGAACCTCTCGGCGATCATCTGATGGATTTCCCGCTGACGATCCTTCTTGCGCACGCTCTCGTAGCTCGGCAGGCGAGGCTGCTCCCAGGAGGGGAGCTGGTAGGTGCTGGGGGGTCCCACACAGAACAGCTCATCTCCCTAGAAATGCCCACCCCAGAAGAGAAGGGTTTTGGCTATGGTTCTCTTTATTGGAAGTTCATGGCCTGGAGCCACCCTGAGTTACTTCGGAGTTCAAAGTTGTAGGTGACCTTCCTTGAACCCCAAGCAAGACAGGAAATCCTCCCTTCCAGGAGGCAATTACACCTCGACCTGCTTTGCAGGATCACAAGCCCTCAGAGATCTACCTGGCACTTCATGCCCAAATACCTCAGGGCACCATGGTGCCCTCTACAGTATCCCTGTCCTCTCACAGGTTTTTACATACAGGCAGCACTTCCCAAAGTTGCTCCTGCTGTTCAGTACCTTCTCCCTATGCCCCAGGAGCTCCCCATAACCACAGTCTCTTCCAAGTTCATCAACATCTTTGCTGCCATTCCCACCCAGCTCCTGCCAGGGATCCTGCCATCACCTGCATTCCAGGGTTCTCAGCAGCACTCTCCAGCCGGGAGGCTCCGCGCTGGGGTCCCACCAGCCGCTGGCTGCTGCTGAAGTAGGGTGGAGGACGGTCCTGTAAGGAGGAGGACATGAGCAAAGCCAAAATCCCTTACATCCCACCTGGCAGCTTGCATGGGACAGCCTGGGAAGTGGGACTCTGGCAGAGGAAGAGCTGCTCCCTCTGCCCTTCTGGCTCATGCGGCTCTCACCGCTGGCAGCCATCCCCTGCCTGCCTGCTCACTGGCACTGATGGCTCAGGCACATCCTCCCTGGCAGCATGGGCCTGCTCCAAGGGCCAGAGCCAGCTGGCACTGCTGCACAGCACAGCCAGAGGGACCCATGGCAGGCATTCATTGAGACTCAGTGGAACCATCTCTCTTTGGGGGACAAGAAAAAACAACCCAACTATTCAGCTGGTGTAGATAAGAGCTCTGTCACATGCTCAGGGTTACAGAATTTGTAAGCTCTTATCTACTCGGGTTGTAGTTTCAGGATAACGCAGCAAGCAAATCTGCAGGGCAATAGCTGTGCTGTTCTCAAGCAGTCTAACACCAGTTAAACTGGATTCCCTGTCAAGGTGTTGAGCAACAGTGCGCAGAGAACAGCCCCTCAAGCCAGAGCCAGGACTTGAGCTGTGGCCGTTCCCTGCTCTCAGAAAACCCCATCTCTGCCAGTAGAAAACAGCCCAGACACTCCCAGGGTAACCAGGGACCTGCAGGGAGGACAATGAATGATAGATTTACTTTTGCTCTTAACAACAGAGGAACAGTTTGTCTTGGCCCTACAGCACAGCTACAGAGGCTGCAGGAAACCAAGACACAACTGTTGGCTCAATAACCAGCACAATGACACCTGTCCAAAGGCTGCCTGACACCACTACAGCTGCTTCACTTTTTTCTGATGGAAATACATCCTATATACGTTCCCTTTCCATATATAATTCTTTGCATCCACATCCATCTGTCCACAGAGCCCTTTGCTAAATGCAGGATGACCAAGCCTCGAGTAAAGCAGGCAGGGACACCATCAGTGCAGCCCAGTCCCACCATGATTTCTGCTGGGGACTTCCCAGCCTGTGCTAGACTACTAGATTTGCCTTTCACAGCACAAGTCTCTCCATCACTTGCTAGTGAGGCTGAATATCCCCTCTTCTCCCAGGGACTGTGGAGCATTACCTACAGCCTTCCCCTAGAGAGCCAGCCCTGCAGCTCTGGAGGCTGAGCTTTCTCCAGGCAGCCACCACCACAAAAGCAGCGCTGGCTGCACATGCTGCTCTTTTTCCATCAGCTTCCCCAGTTGAAAGCCAGCCC